AAATACTAGCAATCAAATAGCCAAATAATAAACACTAACAGTCATAGGAAGTTCAACCAAACCCAAGGCATAAACTTTAAAGACACATCATAAACACAAAATCCAGAACTTGTATATTAACTAAACTTAGAATCAAGTACAAAAGATAAAGAGTTGGAAAGAAAAATAACCCTTGTCACATGAGTTCTTCCCTTGCCTTCTTCATCTCCATCTTCATCTTTGCCTAGCTAATAAACAAGTAGGATGAACTATACTACTCTATACTCAACTACTAAACTAATTGAACTAAGAAAAACTAGTGAGAGTTACATTTTTGTGGAGTTTCTCTAGCCTTCCAAAGTTATGAAAATGTTCTTCAAGGCTTATATTTATAGAGGAATTTCTTGTAATGGGCAAGTGTTTAATCATGTACTGAGCCCATAAACAAGCTAAAATGGAGTTGTAAAGTTTCTTTTGCAGCTGTCTTGGGCAAAATGGAGTTGTAAAGCTTTTTTTGCAGTTGTCTTGGGTTGTTTCCACCGATAATCTTGCAGGAAAGGTAGGTCAAAAACTTGTGTGAATAGAATACAAGTTGGTAAGCCGAAAGTAGTGATCCGAGGGCTAGATCCGAGCTTGGATTGCTCACATTACCCCTCGGATCGCATTTTTCTTCATTTTTTACCTTCACTGTTCATTGGGATCCGAGGCCTGCTACAGTGGATCTGAGCTCAGATCCTCTAGTCTCGAATCCACTTGTCTAGAAGATCAGACGAGGGCTCGGATCATATTGGATCCGGGTTCGGATCGTTTGCTCTGTTTTTGATCCATTTCAATTGATATTTTTTCAATGTTAGAGCTGAACTAGCTCTTATATAAAACATGAAAGTTGTAGCTCTTTGAGTTACCTTTCCAATGCATCAAGAATTACCTAATTTGAAGCTCCGTGGACTGATAAATGACCAAATTACCCTTGATTGGTCAGAAACTTGTTTCACCTTCGACCATAGAAAATGTACTTCAGTATTTCGACCTTTTGACTATGAAAACCAACGAACAGGACTTCAATGTCTTCAGACCAACTGTAGATCAATCTCTTGGCTTCAAATGGTATAAGAATCACCTCAATCCGATCATTATCGCTCAAGATATTGCCAAAATACCACAAGGTGCCAAAGCTATGAAACTCCTTTTCTTTAGAATTTGATTGCATTTCATCTCTTGTACTTTATATTCTCTTTTTATCTCTTAAAACCATCATCAATCATCCAATTTTCTTCTCAATTTATGTCATTTGATGATTGAATCATTAAACCTAAAAAAACATGAAGTTTTCACCATAAAAATCCATAGAAATGCAATTTTTAATACTTAAACCCCTAAATGCATATTTTCACTAGAATCTTAGTTAATTAGCCATAAAAGTTGTTAAAATACACCAAAACTAAATAATAAAGCACACTTAAAACACTCAAAATATACACTTATCATTGTACTTAAAACACAAATGTGGAGACACTAAGACTCCGTTTGGATTGCATTTTTCATAATTTTTTATGAAAAAATTACTGTAGCGATTTGATGTATGTAAGGGAAAAAGATACTCCCTCCATCCCAAAAACTTTATCGTGCTTTGGGAGTTGAACTTTTTATGTACAGTACTAAGTTTCAGCCTTGTTTTCCAATTTTGCCACTTCAAAATCACTATTAGAAACAAGAATGTGTGGTCATTAGTGGTCAAGTAGACAGAAATGACATGTGTGGCCCAAAGCTATCTACAAGAAATATAATCTGCCAACGAGAGTGATATTTACACATCACTTCAAATCTTGTGTGTATCTCACGAATGTCTTGCAACTTTTGTTAATAGTAAATGAAAATCAACGGACCCACTAATAAAAGTAAAGAATGAGGAAATCTTGAAGGGCAAAAATTGAAACAAGAGAAATTTTGTTTTCCATTTTGGGTATGTGGCATATATTTTGGGACAAACAAAAAAGAAAAGTATGACACTTTCAATGGGACGGAGGGAGTAACAGGGAAATGTGATCACAGAAAATGACACAATTTTCTGGCAAAAAATGACAATCCAAACAGGAATTCCCAAAAAAAATGTGTTCTAATGCTTTCATTTTAAACGTTCTCTTAATTTAAAACGAACTTTTGGCTAAAGTCCTTGAATTTTAAAGTGATTTCAAAATCATAATATATTTACAACTTCATCTATAATTTTTTTTTTATATTTGAATCAATTGTAAAGCCTAATTCTATTTGAAAGACTGTCCTGATAGTTGCAAGAATGGATTGGACGATGAATGTAAGGATTGCCCCAAAAAAATTGCCAAAAAAAAGGCATCAAATGAAGAAAAAGGATTGCATACAAGTATTCTAATTTAGTAATGATGAAAAACGGAGAAATTGACATAATTTACCAAATCAATACAGTAAACATAAGCTAGGCTGCAGCTACTAATTTTATCAAAAAGATTCTGAAGTGCTGATCAATAGCTCCAATAACTCTAGCTGCAAAAGATTTTTCAGAAGATAGCACAATAACAAGTGTTTATTTTACATAATAGTTTGTATAAATTTTAGTTCATTTGTAATTAATTTTTAGCTCCTAAGATAATAGGAGTGACTATTTTGACAATATTTGATGTGTTTGATTAACTTTGAGAAGACTTCTTAATTCGTGCCTTTTACTTGTTAAAATTTGTCATTTTTGGTAGGGATGAATGATCATAAACAATACGGAACTGTTTACAAAAAATCATCATCGGGTTGGATGAGAGTATACGGGGTCAGATAGTAAATTTTGAGTCAAATACCAAATTGGATATCCTTTAAAAAGTTTTGCAAGAGAAAGACGTTGAATTTAAGAAGTGAAACTAGATAATCGCGCCAGATACTCATTAAAGCATTTTTCGATGAAAAGTATTTAGCAGTATACAACACCGGATAATGAAACACATTTCGAATACTACGTCATATATTTGAACGGGAAATTTTTGCAAGTTGCGCAACTTACACAACTTGCAACCATTTTTTTATCTTTCTTTCTTGCAGCATCCATGACGTTTTGGCAGCCACTTTTTGAACCCAACACATCAACTTTTGTCAACTTTATGTCACTCCATTGTAAGCTTTTGACTCTTCAAGACCAAACCAAGTTTCTTATGGAAGATTCAAGGGGACTTGAAGATTATAAATAGAGGGAGGTTTGTTGAGTTTTTGAGCTTTAGTTTTCTAGTTAGTTTTAGAAAGGGAGAGAGTTTTGGGCAAAAGAGAGAAACAAAAGGGGTTGTGTCTTGCCACAACACTTATAACTTTCTTCTTCATTTCTATTAGTTTATAGGACTAGTTTCAGACTTGTGTTGTGCATTCACTTGTGTATTGGCTCAACAACAAGGTTGATGGAGATGAAGGCGGAGACGCTCAAGAAGCTCTAGTGACAAGGGTTTTTCTTCCCTCCACCTCTTTAACTTTGTATTGGATTTTAAGTTTTATTAATGCAAATTTTGGATATTATGTTTGTGATGTTGTTTTAAAATTTATGCTTTGGATATTGGTTGAGCTATCTATGATTTCTATGTATTGATTTCTTGATTATTTTGGTATTATCTTGATTAAGTTATTTAGCGCTTTTGATATCAAAATTATGATTAATTGGTTATTAATTGTAATAATTTCAAGGTGTTAGATTTACAATGAAAATTAAAATTTGACACTAGTTCATAGAAATGTTAAATTTAGGGAATACACTCACAAAAATAGAGGTGCACCTTTGTGAATTGCTTTGTAATAATTTCATAAAAGTAAATGAATTTATAGTTGATTTCATACCCATGAAGTGGGTATGGATTAGTTATAGATATAGTTGGTACACCAGTGAAAATGGGTATCGCGTACATAAGGAAATTAGCCATGATTTAGCCAAGAGTTTAGTACTAATTGAGACGGAAAGTTGCACTAGCATGAGTAGATAGAGATTTCATTATTCGAAAAGTTTTCATTTGTATTTTTTTGCCCATTAGTAGTTTAGATTTGTTTATTTTCATTTGTTGATAGTCTAAATAATAGAGAAATTTTAGTGTCGGTAGTTGTCCGTCTTTCCTGTAGATTTGACCCTAATTACCCTATACTCACTCACGACCCGTATACTTGCGAATAATCACGTATGTGGCAGTTTAGAAAATTATAAATTCAAAACTTGACTGTAAATTGAACTTTATTGTTATATGCATACGCCGCACATATCAATTTTTGGCACTGTTATTGGAATAGATTTGTGGCAATATTGGTGTGAAAAGTAACTCTATTAGTTTAAATATTTTTATTTGATTTCTTGTGCTATTTTTGTCCTTTTTTTTTGTTTTCATTTGTGTGTTGATGTGTTTCTTTGTGTGTATTTTGTTTTGTGTGTTTTGTTTTTGTTTTTGTCTAATGTGTTACTAGCATCTATCTTTTTTTGTCTAATCTTGCTTTTGAGGTGTTTAAAAACATTTTTAGAAAATGAGAAGGATAGATTCTTTTGAAGGACAATGCTTGAGACGATGAAGAGAGAAAATGAATCTTCTGTACTTTTAAGGCTATAACAATAGAGAAATTCATGATAATCATGCAAGTATGTCCCTTGATGATAGCATGTTGAGATTAAATGCTAATTTAGACGCCTAAAAAAACTACTAAGAATGCACACTATCTCCTTTTTGGTGGTCATAGAGCCAATGGCAGATGTTTCTCAACTTGACGACTTTAGATTAAAGTTAGGCTTTCACCTAGCCATTAGTAACATAAGCAACAAGATCTGGGTGCTATGGCATTCAGATTTTGCGGTTAACGTCTTGATCAACTTGGAGCAATTCCTCCATGTTGCGACCACGCACATATCATGGAGGAGTGAGGTTTGTTGTTCTTTGTTCACGCTAAGTGCACACTAATGTAAAGGCGTAGTCTTTGGGCTAATTTATTGGCGATCTCGGGGAGCCTGGGGCCCAAGCTGTGGATGGTGGGGGGATTTTAACATGATAGCGGATGAAGGTGAATACTTGGGGCGAGCACCGCAGAATATTACGACACTGAATGATTTTGCTGACTGCATTTCGAGATGCGGGGTGAAGACAATGGTAGCTAGTGGGAGCCAGTACACGTGGACGGGCATTCAGCAGGGCCGCCGAGTATGGAAGTGCCTCGATAGGATTTTGATGAACGTTGCTTGGCAGCAGCAATTTACGGCATTAGGATTGCAACATTTGAACTGGACATCCTTGGATCACTACCCGTTGCTGCTGGGCTTGGTGGCAGATGGGCGAGTAGGATCGTGGCCTTTTAAGTTCCAACACATGTGGGTCAAGCACCCAGCATTCCTGGATGTGGTGGAGCAAAGCTGGATACAGCCCCTTGAAGGCTACGGGATGTTCCTCTTGGCACAGAAGTTGAAACGACTGAGGAAAGCTTTGAATGAATGGAACCGGTCCACCTTTGGGGACATCTTTGCCAACATAGCGAGAGCTGAAGACGAAGTTCGACATGCGGAACTAAGGCTTGAGGAGGTGGAGAATGAGGAAACAAGGATGCACTGGAGCCACGCTCAAGCCAAATTACTAAAGTGCCTGGCAGATGAAGAAACCATTTGGAAGCAGAAGGCCAAGGTCAAATGGCTGAAGGATGGGGATGCAAACACCCGGTTCTTCCACTCTAAGTTGCTTGATAAGCTGGCGAAGCTCTCCATTCGACGGATAAAAAGCTCGGAGGGTAGTTACATTGAGGACGACCAGGACATTGGGGCGGAGGCCGTGTCCTATTTCAAGCGCCTAATGTCCTCAACGCCGACCTCGCCTGAGCAGGCCATGGGAACTTTGCTGCAAAACATCCCATCCATTGTGACACAGCGGCAAAATGACCACCTTTTGTGAGAACCCACCTTGGAGGAAGTGAAAACCGCGGTCTTCCAACTTGATGGACACAGCGCACCAGGAGTCGACGGGTTTACTGGGGTTTTCTTCATGCACTATTAGAACCTTGTTGGTGGGCATATATTCCAGGCGACTCGGAAGTTTATGTGTAGGGTGCCAATCCCGAAGAGTTTTGCTAGCATGCTACTGGTCCTGATCCCAAAAAGAGACTCGTCGCAGACCTTTGCCGATTTCCAGCCCATCAGTTTATGCACGTTTATCAATAAGGTTTTTACCAAGATCCTATGCAATCGGCTAAAGGTGGTCCTACCCTCTATTATCTCCCTGGAACAGTCAGCTTTTATACAGGGCAAAGAGATATCAGACAACATACTGTTGGCACAAGAATTGGTGAGTACAATAAACAAGCGGGTTCGCGGCCATAACACCATTTTCAAACTAGACATCATGAAAGCCTTTGACCGAGTTTCCTGGGACTTCTTATCTCGACTTCTCCTCAAGTTTGGCTTCCATCCACGGTTTGTCCACATGGTGATGAACAACTTAGCCTCCTCGTGGTTCTCAATTCTAATTAACGGACAATAGCATGGTTTGTTCCAGCCATCCAGAGGATTGAAGCAGGGTGACCCCTTCTCTCCTTTTTTGTTTATCTTGGTATCAGAGGCCCTCAACCGGGGATTGATTAAGTTGGACTCGGGCGCCGTCCACAGCTACGCACAGTCAAGGGGTACCTCACCAGTGTCTCACCTAGCATTCGCCGACGACATAATAATATTCACTACAGGAGACCGAAGATCGGTGAAAGCTCTTATGTATTTCTTGGACGTGTATCAGGATGGCTTGAGCCAAATGATAAACAGGGACAAAAGTTTTTATGTGACCTCCTCCAGGTGCCCCTCCTCCAGGGAATGCCTCATATCTAGGTTGACCGGCATGCGACGCCAAACTCTACCCCTCATGTATTTGGGATGCCGACTTTTCACGGGACAAAGGACAAAGGAGCACTTCTACCATTTGATACTCCGAATGCAATCTAAGATGGCGGGCTGGAAGCAGAAACTATTATCCACCGGGGCCGCTTAACCCTCATACGGCACGCCTTAGCTGCCATACCTCTATACACCTTCGCGATTCTGGACCCTCTACAAGGTATCATGAGACAACTGGAGCAGGTTATGTCTTGTTTTTTCTGGGGGAGAGGTGGAGGGACGAGACAAATGCCATTGGCGAGCTTGGAGCAGCATATGTTGCCCTACGGAGCAGAATGGGCTGGGGATCGAGACACTTGAGGATGTATCGCGAGCCTTCGTGTGCAAGCTATGGTGGAAACTCCGGACCGGATCTCTCCTCTGGGCCCGCTTTATGATTGCCAAATACGCACCAGGAACCTGTCACATCACTGAGGCTCCACTGAGACCCTCGAGTTCGCGAATATGGAGGAGACTGGTCGCCTGTTGAGACTTCATGGAGGGCAACATACAATTACTTCTCCGAGAGGGTGACGCATCTTTCTGGTTTGACAACTGGTTAGGGACGGGGCCCATAGCCGAAGGGAAGGGACACATCTCGTTGCCCAACGTCAGAATTCGTGATCTTTATGATGGGATAGCGTGGCATCTAACCCAGGTACGCGAGGCGCTGATAGAAGAGGAGCAAACTCGAATCCTTGGGTCACAAACTCAACTCTCCGAGGGGTGGGACAAGTGGGTCTGGACACCTTCCACGGATGGTGGTTTCAGGGTTCAGTTGGCTCTAAAAATGCTTCAAACACCGGCCAACAATTTGATCTCGTGGAAGTTAATTTGGGGTTGGCGTATTCCCCTCAAGATCTCGATCTTTATGCGGAGGCTCCTGAACGGCTGGCTTCCTTTTTCGTATAAACTACAGCAATTTGGTCTTCATTTGCCTTCCAAATGTTCCTTTTGCCTAAATTCGGAGACCCTACAACACTGCTTTGTCCTCTGCTGCACCGCTCAATAGGTTTGGGATCATTTTGAGCACACCTTACGACTCAGGAGTGTGGCGGACTCCCTTATGGAGAAGTTGCAAGGGTGGTGGATCCACGCTTCGGGGGACTCATCGAGGGCAGTTTTGTCCCATCTCCTACCAATCCTGATTTGTTGGGAACTCTGGAAGGTCAGGAATCAGGCGGTCTTCGATAGTGTAACTGTACGGCCGAGCCATATCTGCCGCCAGGTTGTCTGCCTTCTCAACGGTATTAGAGAGACCCACCCCTTTGCCTTACCAACTTCGGAGGGCGATGCCTGGAGCCGATTGGGATTACCCCCATCCACTAGACGGCCACCACCGCAAAAATGGATTTCCTTGGTTTGGTCCTTGCCCTTATACCCCTACAACAAATTGAATGTTGATGGTTCGTCCCTTGAAAACCCTGGGCACTCGGGTGGAGGTGGCATAGTCAGAGATCATCATGGCCAGGTACAGGGTGCATTCTCCACCTACTACGGCCACTGCACGAATATGGAAGCGGAAACTAGATGCATCCTGGAGGGACTTCATTATTGCCTCTCCCTTGGCCTAGTCAGAGTGATTGTACATATGGACTCGAAACAGCTTCTCAAGATGGTGCTGAGGGCTGCCTCTACACCTTGGAAACTAGACACTTATGTTCGCCGGATACACCATTTATTGGCCCACGTAGACTTTATACTAGAGCACAGCTACAGGGAGACCAACTCAGCGACAGATGCACTTGCTAAGCGGGCAGTAACTACACAACAGTCGGAGACCTATGGGGCCGCCACCCTGCCAAAGCAAGTTAGAGGGCTTACCAAGTTAGATGCATGCCAGTACCCTTATTTTCGTCGGGTGCTCCTGAGTTAGCCGCCTCCTATCACTCAGGCTAGGATAAGAATTGAGGCCCCACTAGTGTTCCTCCAGAAAATAACGTGTAAATGCCTCTCATGTACTTCTTATCCCTTTCATCAATAAAACCAAGTTTTTTTAAAAAAAATGCTAAATTAGACAATTTGATGCATTTGATTGAACAATATAGGAATGTTAATTTTTCGAATTCTAATTATATAGTTTGTGTTTTGTATGGAGGTTATCATGTTGATTATCAATGTATATAAGCACACATGTAGATTACTTTGATGGATTTGAATATGGCACTTCTTATGTTGATTATCATGGCCCTAATTGGGGTAACATGCATAATTATGGTTGGTATGATCATTGTACTTCTAGTGATAATTTAAATTTTTATGATTTCTAACCTCAACCTGTTGAATATGATTTCAAACCATCATGGGAGTTAGCTATAGAAAGGCTAATAAGCAACTCCGATCAAGTCATAGAAAAAGTAGCCTTTGGATCTAAACCACTTTGGGAGCGAGTTATAGAAAAATTTGCTAATAAAGTGGATTTAGATATAGAAAAACTAACTAATGTGATATTCGATTGTTTTGTTAAGATTGAGAATAGAATAGAAGAATTGAATTTACACTTTGATAGAATACATGATCAATTACATGAATTGTATGAAGTTATTTCATCTAATCCTATGTATTTTGCTTCTAGAGATAATGATGCGGGTATTGGATGTGGAAGTGACTTGTGTTTAGAAGATGATTATGATATTAATTCAATCCCTTGTAATAATATTTTTGGAACTAATCTTGAAACTCAAGAAGTAATTTTGAATAATGCATTTGTTACCCTTTTGAGGAATATTTAGTGCCTACAGGTTCCGAAGACATGATTGAACAAGTAATTCCTGCAACATTTCTTTTGAGAAGTTCTCAAGTGGTGCGCATTTAAAATGATATCTATCAAACACTTGAAATCGATAAACCCCTTCCTGCTCTCTTATCTTTTGGATATGTGGTTCATTCATTCGAGTCACCCTTTGTTGATCCACCATGACCTAAGTTGGTAGATTACTTTTTGTCAAAACCTCCTTGACAATGAGGCAAAAAGTCAAACTAATGACTATAAACAAGTGCTTGTTAGGAGACAACCCAACGATTTGTCAAATTTCTTGTATTTATTTTTATTTTGTAGGTTTGAAAAATAAAAGTAGAATGAGCACATTTAATAGAAATTTGGAAATCAACGACACCCAACCACAACAAATCACCTACTATGCTAGGGGAGTATTTCTTTTTTTTTTTTCATTTACCTTTTTCACATTGAGAACAATGTGTAATTTAAGTGTAGGAGTAAGGTTGGTTGAAATTGAATGCATCCTTGGTATTCATGTGAAAATTGATATATTTGTTAAAAATTTTGATGTTGGTGATATTGGTATGTTTGAAATATTGAATTTGGGATTGTTGGTATAGAGAATGGCCCAAATATAAGGAAAAATTTTGTCAAAATTTTTTCTAAAAACCTTAATACCAATAGTGTCGTTAGTTGTGTTGTGCCAGTTGATATGAGATTATGTGTAAGGTGCTTTGAAATTGTTGTTATGTAGGTCAAGAATTCTGATTTTTAGCGAACTTAATGTCTTATAAAGTGAACTTTATCATATTGAGACTTCATTAAATTCATGAAATATATTGTTCTTGATTTGTTTATTTAAGTTGTGTGATTAATATGATTGATAAATGCGAAACTTTTCTTGTAATTTTTCTCTTATTTCTAGTTTTTACAAGGATTAAGTAATGTGTTTTTGCTTTCATAGAAGAAGAAAAGAAAGTTATATGATTATTGATCACATAAGTATTTACTCCAATTATTCGAAGCACTTAATAATCAAGGGTTGGCCTTTACAAATGTCGACGTTCACATAAAACGATATTAAAATTAAGAGTATGTAAAGCAATAATCTCATGTGATCAAGTAACCAGGGGAATGCATCTACCAGTTTTTGTCTTCGCATCAAAAGACAAGTTCACTACTCAAGTAAAGTTTGATAAGAAAGAAAAAGAAAAAAAAAGTATGTGATCAAAGTGTGAAAGTTGTTCTAATTTCTTGTCCTTGTTTGTATAAGTTCTAAGGGGTGATTGCAAGTTTAGTTCTTACATTTGTTA